CACTTGTCACATCCAATCACACCTTCCTTCTCCAAACACTTTCTTCACTTATCTTACAGGACACCCCCCTCTCCTGACTTTCATACTACCCTGGCTACTCCTTCATAGAGTTCTTCCTCCTCATCTTAACACTCTAGATGCTAGAGTGTCCCAGGTCAGGCCCTTTCAGTATCTATACTCACTCTCTAGGTAGTCTCAGCCAGTGTGATATCATGGATAAGAACATGGACCATGGAGCCAGACAGCCTGCTTGAGTCCCTAGCTCTGTAACTTACAAGTTGTGTTATGGAGGCAAAAATTTAACCTTTCCATGCCTCCGTTTCCTCACCCATAAAATGGAGGGTAACTTCCTACAGCTGTAAAGATTAAATTAGCCTAATACAGGTAAAGTGCTTAGAATGTGCTAAGGACTGTGTAAGTGTTAACAATTATCCAGTTTCATGGCTTTATATGCCATAAATATACTGATGATTTACAAATGTATTTCCATAGCTCCTATTATTCCCCTGAACTCTAGTCACTCATTTCTAAATGAGATATTTATGTCTGATATCTCCACGTTAATGGCAAACAAGATCTCAAAGTTCATATATCCAAAACTGAACTCCTGATTCCACACCCTCTCCCAAACCTTCTTTGCCCTAGTCTCCCCCATCTCACTAAAATGCATCACCATTTACCCAGTTGCTCAGGCCAAAAACCTTAGTGTCATCCTCAACTCCTCTTTTCTTCTTCATACAACCTTCTGCAAATCTTGTTACTCTATCTTGAGAATACATCTGGAATCTGATCTCTCCTCACTACTTTTGCCACTACCATCTGGAACAAGTCACTATCATGTATTGCCTGAGCAACTGCAATACCACCTAATTGGTATCTCTGCTTCCCTTTTTGCTCTCGTAAAATCTATTCTTTACCCAGGAATCAGAATATTCTTCAAAAATGAAAATCAGATGTTGCTCCCCTGCTCAAAACTCTCCAAAGACTTTTCATCACACATGGAATGAAATCCAAACTGTGATCTGCCTTTATTTTTCAGCCTCACCTCCTGCGCCTGTCCTGTTACCTACTCTACTCCAGCCACAATGTCTGCCTTGTGTTTGTCAAACTTAACAAGCAAGTTTCTGCTTTAAGACCTTGTACTTGCAGCTACCTCTGGCTAGAACACTCTTCCCTACCTCCTAACCATCTTCACATGCCCCCTTCCTCATTTATTTGCAAATTCTGTTCAAATATTACTTATTAGAGAGGCATTCCCAGGCCATCACATCGAAAAAACACTACTCCACCCTCACTCCTGCCCCATTATTGTGTGGCCCTTTACCCTATTTTTCTTCATAGCACTTGATACTACATGTTACAATATATGTTTATTTATCTGTCACACCTACTAGAATGTCAGCTCCTTGAGGACTCCAACTTTGTTTTGTTCACTGTAATATCCACAGCATCTAAGCAGTGTCTAGAATACAGCAAGCACTCAATAAATATTTTTCTTTCTTTCTTTCTTTCTTT